GCTTCCCTTCATGATGGACTGTGGTCTGTAAGCCAAATGAACCCTTCCTATGTTTTTTGGTCATGGTGTTTATCACACCAACAGAGAAACAAACCAAGACACCAGGGCTTTTAAAGTTAGGCAAGGGCTCTCTCTGCCACTGAGCACCAGTCTCTGCCCCATGAAGTGAAACCCCACCATGCTGTTTATCTATGATGTTGGGGCCTGAATGCTCCTCAGAGCCCTTACCATGCTGCTGTCTGTCTGTCTGTGGTGTTAATGACTCTTTGACTAAATTTCTTACCAAAAAACAATCTACCTCAGTGTCCCATGAGCCTCAAACTCAAAACATCTTTTTTTTTTTTTTTTTTTTTTTTTTGGTTTTTCGAGACAGGGTTTCTCTGTGTAGCTTTGCGCCTCTCCTGGAACTCACTTGGTAGCCCAGACTGGCCTCGAACTCGCAGAGATCCGCCTGGCTCTGCCTCCCGAGTGCTGGGATTAAAGGCGTGCGCCACCACCGCCCGGCCTCAAAACATCTTTTAACAGGTGCTTTTGACATAGAAAACATGTGCCCCTCAGTTACCCCAATGGAGATTTAGCACTCCTTGAAGTCTGAATTTGTATTATCATCAAAGGACAATGGGGAAACTGAGGCACTAACAGATCAAAGTCAGCTGGCTGGGGTGGGGAGTCACCTGGAGCCCTGACCCTATGCTGGATACTACAGCTTTCTCCTCCTTAAACTAGGAACCTCCATCCCTATCCTGGAGGTCACAGACTGGGTGTATGTCAACCTCAGTCTCTTTGGAGATTTGTTTTACTTTTAATAGTGTGTGTGTGCATGTGCACATGCGTGTGTGTGCCTGTGAATACAGTTGCATGAGAAGACCAGAAGAAGGTGCCAGATCCTCTAGAGCTGAAGTTACAGGTGGTTTTTTTGTTTGTTCGTTTGTTTTTTGAGACAGGGTTTCTCTGTAGCTTTGGAGCCTATCCTGGATCTCATTCTGCAGACCAGGCTGGCCTTGAACTCACAGAGATCTGCCTGCCTCTGCCTCCTGAGTGCTGGGATTAAAGGCATGCGCCACCACCACCCGGCAGTTACAGGAGGTTCTGAGCCACCAAATGTGAACTGAAGTCAGGAATTTAACTTGGATTCTCTGCCAGAGCAAGAGGTGCTTTTAACCACCAAGCCGTCTCTCCAGCCTCCTGACCTCCTTAAACAAGCCTGGACAGAGTTCCATCCTTTCACAGGACTCTTGGTCACCAATGCCAGGCAGGTGCTCCACTACAGAGACATATCCCAGCCTCCTACTACCATACTTGGTCCTCTACGTCAGTGGTTCTCAACCTGTGGGTCAAGATCCTCTCAGGAATGTCGAACAACCCTTGTGCAGGGGTCTCATATCAGATATCCTGCATACCACACATTTACATTATGATTCATAACAGTAGCAAAATTACAGTTATGAAGCAGCAACAGAATAATTTTATGGTTGGGGGCCACCACAATGTGAGGAACTGTATTAAAGGGTCACAGCATCAGGAAGATTGAGAACCACTGCTCTACAGAGACAGATTTTTGTTTTTTTTGTTTTTTTTTTTTTTGTAATCAAAAATAAGACCAATAGGTTGGAGAAACAGATCAGTTGGTAAAATGGTTGCCTTGCAAGTAGGAGGACCTGAATTTGATTCCCAGGACTCAAGTTAAAAAAAGAAGTTCAGGGTGGGCTGTGGTGGCACAGACCTTTAATCCCAGCACTTGGGAGGCAGAGGCAGGCGGATCTCTGTGAGTTCGAGGCCAACCTGGTCTACAGAGAGAGATCCAGGACAGCCAGGACTACACAGAGAAATCCTGTCTTGGAAAACAAGACAAAACAAGCCCCTGCAGGCATGGTGGCACACACTTGTAACCCAGCACTGATGAGGTGAAAGCAGAGGGCTTCCTGGTCTAACCTCACTGGTAAATTCACGTCCCAGTGAGAGAGTCTGTGTCAAAAAGCCAAGCGGACGGCACCTGAGGAACCACAATAGGGTAGACCTGTGGCCTCCACGTGCACACACATAAATACGACCACTCTTTCTCTTCTCAGAAACCCTATCTGAATCCACTACAATCAAAATAAAACCCAAATCCACACATCGCCTAGGAAGCCCCAGGCAAGAAAAACCTCCCAGCCTCCTTGACCTCACCTCTTGCCCTTCTCCCCATTTGGCTGTCCTGGCCACCCCAGCCTCTGGCCACCCCACGAACACCAAGAACGTCACCTCCTCACTCCTGGCACCTGCTGCTTCCTGTGCCTGGGCTGCACTGAGTTCCGATGCCAGATGTGCTCCCTCCCTGCAACAGCTGGAGGTGGAACCTGCTCTCACTATCACTCCTTACATGTGCAGACACTGAGGCATGGAGAGCTGCATGACCTGCTCAAGGCTGCCCTAGGTACTGGAGCTCAGCAGTGTGCCCTTGCCCAACTTACTCCTGCACGGCTCAGCTCCAAGGCTTTTTTTTTTTTTTTTTTTTTTTTTAGCTCCAAGGCTTTTTGCTCTTGTCTCTACCTCTCACCACACGTGCTGTTCATTTGACAGTCGAAGGAAAGGAGGTCCATCCCGAAGGACAGCTCAGGCTGGGGGTGTGGCTCAGTTGGTAGAGTGCTTGCCTGGAATGTACAAGACCCTGGTTTCTATCCCCAACACCACATGTCTTAGGTAGGGTTTCTATTGCTGTGAAGAAACACCATGACCACAGCGACTCTCATAAGGAAACCATTTAATTGAGACGGCTCGCTGACAGTTTCAGTCCATTATTGTCATGGCAGGGAGCATGGTAGCATACAGGCAGGCATGGTGCTGGCTACATCTTGATCAGAAGGCAACAGGAAGTGGACTGAGACACTGGGTGTTGTCCTGAGCATAGGAAACCTCAAAGCCCACCCCCCACAGTGACACACTTCCTCTATAACAAGGCCATACCCACTCCAACAAAGCTACACCTCCTAATAGTGCCACCCGCTTTGGGGGCCATTTTCTTTTAAACCACCACACCACATGAAAGCAGGTGTGGCGGCACACACCTGTAATCCCAGCACTTGGGAGGAGGTAGAGGCATGAAGACCAGAAGTTCAGGCTCATCTTCGACTGTATAGTGAGTTTGAGGCCAGCATGGGCCACGTGAGACTTTGTCTAAAACAAAGCAGACTACAACCTAGAAGGAAGGAGGTGCTGCATGGTGACAGAGCCATGTTCAGCAGCAGCAAGACTGGAGCCTGCCTCCATTCACATCGCTGCCTTTCCCAGCCAAGCAAGGAGCAGGGATGGGGACTTCTGGTAAGCCCAGCTCCAGCTACGCACCTGTCCCTGAGCCAGGCAGGTGGCACGTTCCTCAGCCCACATTTGGCCATCTGGCTCTGGGGGAACCTCTTTCAGACTGTGTTCCCCAGCCCACTTGTCCTGCCATCATGCATAGCCCTCTCCTCCTTTTGCCAGTAATCTGGCCCCTATAGTCAGTCCACATTCAAGTAGCAAGTGAAGGCAATTTTACTGAGGCCTTGCCCCAGGGGACGGGGGCCTTGTTTTCTTCTTTGATTTCCCCAAGGACTAGCCCTAGCAACTGCTGGTTCACTAGCAGTCACACCCAGCTTTTTGTCTGAGCTTGGAGCAGACCTAGCAGACAGGCTGGTCTCCATCTGTGAGGTGGCCCACACTACACACAGCCCTGCTGGAAGGACAGAGCCATCCCTCAGATCTCAAGAAGGAGGTTCCACCATGGCCCTGAGCATCTTGTCTGAGCAGTTCTGCATCCGAAGGCCTCGCCAGGTGACTGGGGTTGGGCGGGGATGGTCGTGGGATGAACTGAGAACCAGAGAGTCCAGGCAACCCACCTGGCCTGCTCCATCTGCGCCCAAGAGGCTGGTACTTGTCCACCAGGTGGAAACCCACCACCTATTCTAGCAGTGTGGGCAAGGCTGAGGTTGAGTGGGCAAGGGGTCCGCAGGGACTGGATGTTGGATATCTCAGGTTTGCATTCCACAGCCCTGCCCAGTGGCTTTTAGCAGCGGTGGCTTTCCACAGTCTGGAAGCATGTCTGCCAGCAGCAGCACCCACTGACAATGTGGGAATCAGGTAGGGCTCTGTCCACACTCATGCCTGGTATTCCTAAGGTTGAAGGTTCTGTGGGGAAGAGCCTCCACACCTGTGTCCTACCTGACTAATTCCAGGGGTCTGGAGGAGGCCGGCCCAACTCCCTGCTTAGGCGGTCCCTGGGAAAGACCCTTCCACACACCCAAACACCTCATGCTTAGGGCTGCAGCTGGAGACCCCTAAGATCAGCCTCTCTCTACAGGTGGTCTAGAATTGGAAAAGTGTCTTCTAAATACATGAGGAATGAGGAGTCTGGAAAGTTCTTGGGGGGTGGGGGTGGGAAAGGCTGATAGACACACAGGACTAAGTTCTCACAAAAATGGGGTCTTTTAATTATTATTATTTCTATTTGTGCGTGTGTCACATGGGTGCGGGTGCCAGTAGAAGCTAAAAGATGTTGTCAGATCCCCTGGAGCTGGAGTGACAGGTGGCTGTGAGCAGCCTTATCTGGGTGCTGAGAATGGAACTCTGGTCCTCTGGAAGAGCAGCATGTGCTCTCAACCTCTGAGCCACCTCTCCAGTCCCAAGGGTCAGATTCTCAGCCCAGGCATCCTTAAAGAAGTGTAGTGGGAATCACGAATGGGGACCATTCCCTTGACCCCTATGTAAGACTAGAGCAGTAGGTTTGATTTCTGGGGATCTTCTTGTGTTTTGAGAAGGGAGGATGCACCGCACCCAGGTACACTCCTCAAATAGAAGACCCTCCCACAAGACTAGCCCCGCTTACCGCCACTCTCCCCTCCTCTGGCTATTTGTGGGGCGGTGTCCCCAGCCCTGGCGCGCAGGTGCCACCCACTTGTCTATACTTAAGGATTTCTATGTCCCCAGCGCGCACCAGGGAGGAGGAGGCTCCAGGCAGGGACTGGATCCCCAGAGCGTCTCCCCAGCAGCCGATCCGCCCTCCGTCCGCCCGGGGTTTTGCGTCCGCCGCTCCCTCCTCCCTCCTCCGCCCTCCGCTCCCTCGCTCCGCCTCGCCTGGATCAGCCCTCTGGTATTTCCTGCTGCTCGGCGACAGCTGAGCCCCTCGCGGGCCCAGCGCGGCCCGGCCCGGCCCGAGCACTGAGCGCGACCGGCACGGTAGGAGCTGCGCTGCTGGGCACCGGGAGGGATAGGGATGGTGGACAGGCCCGGGAAGGCCAGAAGGGGATTCAGCAGGCCTGAGAAGCTCCAGGGCCACGGAGCCGGCGTGAGGGTCAGGGAGCCCTCACGGGCTGATCTGGGAGCCCCTTGGATGCAGCCGGGTAGACTCTGGCAGCAGCCGGTACGGGGAACAGCGCCTGGCTGGGGAGCCCGGGTGTGTGGGGACTTCTGGGTGTCGGGTGAGGCCCGCGTGTGGGTGCGGCATGCCCAGCCCCGCTTCCCACTTGGTGGGGCTTAAAGGAGTCAGGACCAGGCGAGTGGGTGGGAAGGTCTGGCTGCCTCCGACCCTGGGAGTGGAGGAGTCTGTACCCCCAGCCCAGCCATATCAGGTTATTGGTATCTAAGAGGTTTGAGATCTCAGGTCTCTGGCTTGATTCCCAGGATGGTTCTGCAGGGTCCGCAGAGCAAGTGGCTGCTGACCCCACCTTGCCCTTGGACTCTGTCCACCCATGGCCTCCATCCATAGGACTGAGCCCCTAAAGAAAGGGAGGGAGTTTGGCATTGTTGAGATGACTTGAGGGTTTCAGGGACTGGGGTGGGGTAGGACCTGAGCCCCTCCCAGCTACGAGTCCAGCCTGGCTTTGCCTCCCAACCCAGACATCCTGGTTCTTTAGGTCCAAGTCCCTGGAGTCCCAGTTGTGAGTGGCTCCTAGGGGTGTGGGTAGACATCCCCTCCAGAGCCAAGGGGGCTGCTTCACCCCTCACCCACCTTGGGCCAGGCTGGGCATGTAGCTGGGAGGGGCTTCCTAGAACCACTGGTTTGAATTTCTTGTTTTTCACCATCTCCGGGTCTCCCCTGCAGACTGGCCACCCACTTGTCTGTACTTCAAGATTCCTACATGTGTCTGCCTTTGGCTCCAGCCTCTGCCAGACACCCTTGTCAGGTCACAGGAGCAAGAGTGGTGGCATCAGGGCCTGGAGAAGTAGACAAGACCCTTGGGGGCGGATACCGCACTTTTGAGTTTGTTTGTCCTGAGTGAATCCAGCAGACACCGCCACCCCCATCCCCGGAAGGCATGCCCCTGCTAATAACAGCCAACTGGCTGTCTGGCTTTACTACCTTTCTGCCCCTCTTTGCTCAAGTGGGGAAAGGGGTGGAGGTGAGGGTACTTACTGACACTTGAACTTGTTGGGGTTCCAGAGGAGCCCAGAGAGCTTTGCTGGTGTCAGACAAGTCAGGGTGACCTGGGTGGCAAGTGGTGACATCTGGCTGTCCCTTTCAGGCTCCTGACTGCGGATCTATTGTCTGCCTGCACGTGTATGGGGCAGTGTCGTGGGGCCTTTTAGCACCAGGCCAGGGTGCCAAGGAAGCAAGTGTTTGCCCCTGTCTGGTTGGCCTGGCCAGGCAGTGTTTAGAGAAGGGTGAAGCAGCTGGGTGAGGCTCCTCCTCCTCCGCGGGGCTGTGCCTTGTCTCAGGGAGAGTGCTGTGCTGAGGCCTAACCCCAGCAGCACATCCTGGATGTCAGAGGGGTTCTCTTTCCTAGCCAAGGGGTCTAAGTCCGTCAGAGCTTGGCTCTGGGCTCTTTCCAGATGCCTAAAGCATCCCTTCCCCCACACCCCGATTGCGTCTGCCTGGCTGAGCTATCCAGGGTCGGTTTCTCCTGACACCAGGCTTCTTCCAAGAAGCTCTCTGAGCTACAATAGCGCGATCTGACATGCCACGCACGAGGGGGGGGAGGACAGAAATGGCACGTGCTGGCAAGTGTTGTGTCTGGCAGCTGTGTTGGGGACCTGAGCCATCTGTGCGTTCCGTGGTTCAGCCACAAGCAAGTAGGCACACGCCACTCCTGACACACAGGTGCTGAGCTTGCTCAAGGTAGTAGGGGTGTGTCCACCTTCATTTCCATTTATTGTTCAAAACGAGGGTGGGTCTGAGCGTGGGGCTGCTTCTCGGAAACATGTGGGCCTCCCAGTGAGGCCTAGGAGCTTGAATTCTGACTGCAAGACAGTGGTACAAATGACCCTAAGCCCAGAGGACTGTTGGGTTCAGATCCCTCCCTGGAGCCACTGTGAGCTGGTTGCAGGGTTGGCTAGGCAGCCTGGGTGAGCACCTGCAGTGTTGGGTGGGGCAGGACAGTGAAGTTGGCCTTTCCACAGGCGGCCCACTGAACGTCTTACTGCCTGCCCCGGGGTGCCCTGTCACTGTTGAAGACTGTCCTGTAGGAAAAGAATACTGTTCCCTGTGTGCTGAGCCTTCAGCTCAAAGACAAAGAATTCACAACCTGCCCAGATCCCTGAGGGTTTATCAGCCATTCATTTGAGATGTATGCATAGATAAGGAATGTTGAGCCTGGGGTCAAGTACAAAGGCCTTGGACTTGGGATCACATCATTGTCTTTGTTTACAGTTCCCAAGCCAGGACACGGCAGAATGCACACATGGGTAACAGGTCGCCTTGTTCTGGCATCTAAGCTGAGGGGACTGGCAGCAGTCATGGACAGGGCTCGGGATGCCACTGGGGTGACACAGAGGCTCCAACTTGGAGTTCTTTGTCCATACAGCTAGCTGGGGAGTCCTCACGTGTGAAGAGGACCAAGCTGGTTTGGGGACCCAGAGAGGAGATCCTTGCAAGGGTGATGACAGAGCTGTGGGAGGGTGGAGGGCTTGAAGGCCATTGAGAAAGGCCTGGGAGCCACCCAATCAGACCCCTAGCGTGGCTCTGGTCAACACAGCCTTGCCAAGGTCATCCAGGTCATTAAGACATAAGAGAATGCCTTTACAGTTCAAGACAGGAGCCTGGCCAGCCGATGCAGAATGACAAGTGTAGAAGGGCCTAGAATACACAATGGCCTTTGATCGAGGCTCAGAGCCACCCCAGGCTGTAAGCTCAAGCTTTACAGGGCTTTCCCAGCCTCCCACCTGCCCACTCCTGTGTGGGGCATCATTGCTTCCCAGCTCACAAGCTCCCCCTTTCTATCACACCTAGTTATCCAGCCAGAAACAGTGTGGCCTTTATAACCTAGACTTAGAATTGGAGCACTTACTCAGTTCTGGGAGGTTCTGGGTTCCATCTCTAGCACTGCCAAGGTGCATAGGTGTGTGTGTGTGTGTTCATGTAACTTGACCCCTCAGAGCCCTTCTATTCACCATGGATCTCTGGGTAAATCCATGGTCACCAGGGACCTACCCCCTGGCCCCTGTCTTCTACTTTCACCTTGCCCCATTCCTCACTCCCAGGGACTCCCCCGCATGCCTGGTTTTCTTACCCCATGGCCTTGCATGACTGTACTCTCTGTGGCCAGCTTTCTCACAGATCTGAACGTGGTGAGCTCCATCTGATCCAGGTTCCGCCAGGGTGCCACTTCTCCGAGACACCCTCTGTCCCTGTCCTGAAGTGCCTGTTTTCAATTCACTGGGTCTTACGTTTCCTTCTTAGCAGCATGAAGCTATATCTGAAATTATCTTGATTTATTTAATTGGATGTCTGAATATGCAGAGAACAGTTGGGCCAGAGGTAGCCCGGGGGAGGGCACCGTCCCCTGTCACCGTTCTCTGCTGTCTGAATGTGAGCTCCAGGCTCAATTCCCAAGGCCTGGCACACAGTAAGCCTTCTGTGCTTGTGTGAGGTTGGAAGGGAAATCCCTGGAAGTTGGCAGTCTGAGGCCAGCTGCCCATCTTGCCTCTCCCACTCCTGCCTCCCCAGCATCAGGAGGTAAGAGATCTGCCTCGGTATTGTGTGTGATCCATGCCTCCCAGCCTGCGGCCTCTGAATTAGGACCAACTTCTGCAGATTAGCCTTGGAGCAGAAGACATCTATATTCCTATGTGGTGTGTGCCGGTGACTGTTGCCCCTGCCTCAAAGCCAGACAGAGGAGAATTAACTTATTGGGGTTCATAACTTAAGTAGAGACATAGAGATGTCCTGCTGCTGGCCTGGTGTGGAATCACTTTCCCTGGACAAGTACCTGGGGAGTTTGGAAACCTATCCAGGCCACACTGTCTGTGAGGTCACAGCAGAAACAGCGTCTCTCCAGGGGTAGGTGGGCACACAGAGTGCCTGCACAGGGAGAAAGCCAGGCCTCCAGGTATTGGGATTAATCCATGGAGTCTATTTAATGATCAAAGGAATTTATTTGGGGGTGAACTCACAACCACGGGAGATTTAGCGTAGGGTCCAGGAAAGCTGAACTATGTCCCACGCTGAATGGCTTGGTCCAAGATCTCAGTGTCCAGAACCACGAGGTAGCCAAGAGGGGCCAGCATACATGCATCCCAGGTCTTAAGGGTCCCCGGTGGCCATGCTCCAGAGGCCGGTACCTCAAAGTCATAGGCAGGTGTAACAGCTACAGCTGCCTCACGAGAGGCAGTGCTTCAGGGCATGGCTCAAACAGCTACCCACTACCTCCAGGACCTGACAGGAACAGTGCAGAGATTTGTATGGTCCCACCAGGGCACAAACTCGCACACCCAGCCTGGGGAACATGAGCAAGAGTACAAGCAGTGGCATCTGGGCAGTGGTGGCAGTGAGATGCCAGCACACCCTCTGGGTAAGTGCAATGTGGAGAGTCCGGGCCCTTAAGAGAGAGGGTCAGGCCTGGGAAGTGGTTTCATGTCTGAATTCTGCCTTCTTTCTTCGTTTTCAGGGTAGGAGGGAAGCCAGGCACCTCTCAGGGTCTGGTCTGTGGCCCATAGGTGGGCCGCTTCCCTAAGAGTGCAGAGGTAGAGGACTCTGAGGCTGACCACTAGGCACAGGGGTGCGGGGCGGGGGGGGGGGGAGGAGGAAGGAAGGCCAGGTTTCCAGTTTACACAACAAGCTTTACACTCAGCTACATCGGAAAGTCACCTTCATTCAGGGGGTTCAGGCCTATGGGGCAGAGACAGAGAAGGCCTGTGTTCCTTGTTCTGGAAGGGTGAACCAGGGCAGTGAGGGAGTGCTCAGCTCTGGACCACCCTTGGCCCCTCCAACCAGCCACAATCCCAAATGCCAGAACCACCCA